GTTTGATGACCAGCTGACCATTAAAGATCATGTTGCCTCTGTTGCTTGATCATGTCTTTTTGCAAAACTAAACAGAAGAAATATCATCATCGTGCACTTCAACCAGTCACAGCCTTCATGTAAAGACTACTCACTTTCAACAGAAAACAACGAATGAGGACAGAACGCTGCTGTGGTGGTGGGCGTGGTCTGAAACTTAATAAAGCACAGTTACTATAGTGGAAATGAACTACCAAGTGTCACGAGCTGGGGTGTCCTTGTCTGTCTTCAAGAAACTCTTGAACATCTCACTCTTCAGAGAACCTCTCATACACTAACTAAAACTTAAGAATAGGACATGTTCTAACTTTTAGTTAGGTTAGGGTAGTTATGGAGCCCCAACGAAACCTTAGGGTCTGGAAACATAATATGTATTTTTCTTCTTGCTTTTGCTAAAAAGTAAAAATAAAAAAGCCTCCTTTTTTCTCCCTCTGTCTTACATTCGGGCGGCATGGTGGTGTGGTGGTTAGCACTGTCGTCTCCCAGCAAGAAGGTTCTGGGTTCGAATCCTGGGGGGTGGAGTTTGCATGTTCTCCCTGTGTCTGCGTGGGTTCTCTCCGGCTTCCTCCCACAGTCCAAAAACCTGCATGTTAGGCTGATTGGAGATTGGGGAAATTGCCCTTAAGAGTGACTGTGAGTGTGAGTGGTGGCCCTGCGATGGACTGGCGGACTGTCCAGGGTGTACCCTGCCTCTCGCCCGTTGACCACTGGGATAGGCTCCGGTTCCCCCCGCGACCCCATCAGGGAATAAGCGGTATTGATAATGGATGGATGGATGTCTTACATTCACTGTCTTCCTTTTCAGCTCGAAGACAAGTTGAAAATACAGCTGCATTCATAGTCTGATAATATCAAGTCATTCTCATCCTTAAGTCTTTGGAGATTCTGTTGGACAACATGTATGGATACAATTTTAATGGAGCAATACGTTTCATCGATTTTTAAATGGTCATATTTTGACAGTATCAGGGAAAAAGTCATTTTTTAAATAGCTGGATGACTTTAGAGCTGTTTAAAAGGTTTTTCTTGAAAGTAAGCTGAGGTACAGTAGGTAGAGCTGAAAGAGGTCA